GTTTAAAATAACTGATGCGTTTCACTAGCAGTTTGAAATAAATACTATAAACATTAGCTAAAAGTCAAAGTCTCCTTATGGGGAGAGGTGCTTCTTTTGCAGAAGCCGAGGTATGTAACTTGTCATTATTCCATTCTCACTCGCTTACGTGGACCCAAGAAACTTCCCATGCAGCTAATAACAGTATTTTTAAAACAATAATTGGACAACTGAATTATGCATTTTCTTTGTTCATTGGGGATTGAATTACTTTTCATAAAGAGTTTTAAATACAAACATTAGACGACTAGATGTCGTATATGTATATGTTTAAATTGATGTTCGCAAATAATAAGTTAATAAGTTACCACTTAGAAAATATTTATGAACAAATAAAAGTTATAATTATAGCATATAAGTACAAGGATAAGTCAAATTGCAAATGTTAATTCATACAGAATGGATGACATGATGAAAACGTATGTTAATCTTCAAATGAAATGATGATTTTGTTTATAAGGCAATCGAACAATGCTTGCAAAGCTGACTAAGAATTAGTTTATTAGAACTTATACGCACTGAGTTTTCAATGTTTTCTTTCAATATCGACGGTTTTGGCAGGATACGTGATAACTAACTTGTATATATTTGCCAGTCTTGTTACTACAAAGATACAATGGAACACATTAGGTGATTAGGCATATGTACCATAAATAATTATATCTTGAATCATCGGACTAATGCTTGAGGAAAATGTTTGGGGCCATAAGATAGAAAATAATTGATTATAGAATAGTTGTAATTAATAATTGAGATCACATAGAATAACATGATTTCTCAGAAAATTAATAGATAAAAGAAAGAAGAGAAGTGTGACAACACATGGGATGTGCCCAACAGCACAAGAGACAGCTTCACCGGTCAGATTTATGCCAATGTCCCGCTCTTGTCCACTCTCTGCCCCACCACTTTCATTAGTAATATTACTATATAGTTAGTGTTTAATTTAATAACAATGCAATAACATTGTACAATGAATAAACAAAGTGAAATGTTATTCGTACAAATTAACTAATAAAATAACAATAGCTCATGTTTATACAACATGTTTTACTGAATACATGTTTTATACAACATATTTTACTGAATACATATGGTTCAAGAGGGCGTAAATGTTTTACTTAATAAGGGCGTAAATGTTAGCAGAATACATATGGTAATGGTAGTATGGTGCATCTATCTGTCTTTCAAAGGAGGAAAAAGAATCTTCAACTACTGAAATGCGTTAATTGTTTGTGCGCGTGCATGCATATCTGTTAAATGCTTATGATACGTCCACATCTGCTCTATACTCATCGAAGTGTTCATTCTCCTCGCAGTTATACAATTATACACAAACACATGTAACATACACAATACGATACACATCTATACATATAGTTCATTTCTTTAGAAAAAGAAGACTAAGGCTATGAATGGAATGCAGAACAAAAGACAGGATAAATGCAGATTGTTTAATTTGCAGTTTGTACTGCATTTGTTGCCCATTCAACCTTTAAAATGCAGAACAGAAAAAAATTATAAAATAATTAAAAAACTGCATGCAGATAAATTTGTGTGTTAATTCTTGGACTGCATGAATAGATGCAAATTGGCGAGGATCGGATGCAGGTGGAATGTGAAGACCAATAACGTACGAGCATGTTTTTTCATTTTATTAGTTACTTATAAAAAACCTCATTTAATTCATTTCACTAACTTTTAAACTAATCCAAAATTTCTCTAAATGTGTGATTTAATATTTTTTTTTCTCATTTTTTGTCATCTATTTCTCATTTGTATAACAATTATTTTTAGCTGGTTTTATTTATAGCAATGATATATAAAATAGATACTTTTATTTATATTATCTACTATAACTATGATAACAGAAATTAGATATATTTAGTTTAAAAGAAAAATCATGTGTAATATTTACAAAAAGAAATAATATTTCCATATCAATTATTTTAATAAATTTATGCATATACATTTATATTTGGTATTCATATTTTAATTGTATTTACATAAAATTCTTAATTTTATTCATAATTACTTCATATTTTTATTTGATAATTCATGTTTAAATTGTATCTCATACTAATAAATTTGTAAGTATGGATAATGATCAGATATAACACATCGGTTTCGGTTTAGTTTAGTATCATATTCTAGAAGCTATAAAGTTACGTTACAACGTTTGAATTCAGATTATATCATATTGGTTCGGATATACCCAAAAAAAAATCTAATACTAAAAATACAAAATATATAGTTATTTACACAAAATGAAATTTAAGATACTTATTTAAATTTTAAATATTTATTGATAAATATCATATCAAAATAAATATAAAATTTAATATTTTAATATACATTTATTTTTCAAGAATTTATATTCGATATAAATTTTGACATTCAATCGGTTTTTTTAGATATTTTTCAGATTTTCCACATGTTTGGATTCGGTTAATAACACTTTAGGTTCAAATATGTTTTATAACACCCTACAAAACTCATTCATTTATTGTTTTTACATTTTGGACTTGGTACGAGTAATTTTTTTGGTTTGGTTCCGTTCAAAATTCAGATTAATGATTTTATGTCCAGCCCTAATTAATGTCTTGGATCTTACTTTTATTTTAATTTGGACTATAAAAATAATTAAAGCGAAAAGGAATAATATTTTTAATTTTAATGAATTTTATATAATTTGTAAGTTTCAATATATTTATTAGAATGAAAATACTTTTTTGTTTTATGTTTTTTTGTTGTAATTGTGTTTACCTTTTATATAATGTTTAAACTTTCTTTGGATTTATTAAGTTAATAAAAATAATAATTGATAAGAATTTGTATTTTTGTTTTAGATATTTCATTTACAAAATTATTTTTAACATCTGGTTAAATACACTAATTCGATAAAATAGCTTAACCAGTTAGATCTGCATTTGTTCTGCATGATCTGCTTGATCTGCATTTGTTCTGCTTGATCTGTATTTTAGGTTTGATCTGCGTTTTCTTGATCTGCATACCATTCGAAGCCTAAGCCCTCATGGCGTTGAAAAAACGTAGCCACTTGTGAGATTCTGTGCCGATTACTTGCGGAAGTGAACTATGTCGGAGAAAAAGGTTGACGCGATTTCCAGTTAGCCACTCATTTATTAACGGTCACAAAAGCATCAAACATACAGTTTTTTTAGTTCTTTGAGAGAACACATTTTCTCTTAAATTTTCTAGAATAAATACTAAATTAAGCTCGAGAAATATTTTACCAGGTAAATATAAAAATATGTGTTTAAATCTTTAATATTCTTACAGTTTATAGAGTTTAATATTTTGTTTCCTCCTGTGGGACAATAAACTAATGTCTGTATTTTGTGTCTCCAGCTTAGTATAAGGAAGCGTTCTAGATGATCAAATATTGTCAGAATACTCTTTATATTTGAAAACCTATAATATTTTTAAAATTTTGTGTGTGTTAAAATATAATATGTTTGATATTTCTATTTGGTTTTAGTAAAACCTACATTATCAATTATTTTTACAGCTTTATCATAATTAGTTAAGTTGTTTTCAGTTTATTCTTAATGGAAATATCAATATATCATGTTCGAAATATAGGATTATAAATTACTTACTCTTTTTGAATATATATGATGTTTTAGGAGTTTTGTAATATAAAATAATCTATCTATGTAATTTTAGCTTTATAAAAACTGTACAACCAGTTGTGTTTTTACTAAAATTCGCTTAATTAGTTTTTGATAGATCTTTTAAAAGTGTTTTTAGAATGATACATTTTTAATGTATGCATTAAGTTAAATATTAAATATTATTGTTAAATAGAGGGAGTACTAAATAAAGCAAAAACAAATGAGGAACGTTGAGAAATACGACGCATATAAAGTCCCATTGCACGAATAGTTTTTAAACGTGACGATAGGCCCCGTTCGGACCACCGAAACTTGTGCCTAGTCAGACCTTTGTGGTCATAGTCTTACGTGGTCTACTTCTGCAACAATTCAGAAGCAAAAAAAAAAAACAAATATTATTATTTTTGTCATATATTTGATCTACGGATAATAAATAGTTATCGTCGTCTTGCGAGTTTGAAACAATTAAAATTAATGACTATTATAGTGCAATAATAGGTTAGGATAGGCCTGTGATAGATATCGTAATGTCTATGATGTGTCTGGTCAGAGTCATTTAATATTGGTTCTGACGACATTGGTACATTAGCCTATTGCCACTCACCTTGGTTCCAAAATCCAAAACCAAATCCAAATCTTTTTTGGTTCAACCATAGCACAATAATTTGATTATTTTCGTACTAACATAACCTTATACTTGTCGATTGTAGCGGAAACCACACAATTGTTTGATTATATTCTTTTACTGGTCCACTGTAGAGCCCATTCTATTCTTACATTATGAGAAAAGACAAAACTATATATCAAAAGTCAAAACCAGCATTTGTCTGCATACGAAATTCCAAAATTATTTTTGTATTTATTTGTTTATAGATGGTTTCAGTTTTAGATTTTTGTTAAAACTAAAAAGTAAACTTGATCAAATTATCAAAAATATCTAATAAGGAATTCCAAATATGACGAATTAATATTAAACTTCAATTCGATTTTTTTTTTTTTGTATTTTGCAAAAAAATAATGTATTTGGAATAGTTGATTAATAATATATACCAAATTTTAGGTTTATTATATTTTCTCTAAACTGACTGTATTTACGTTTTATAAAACAATTGTATAATCAACTGTTTAGAAGTCATCTTGTGTATGTACACTACGATAAATAATCCCAACAGGCTTTGCGCACTCAATCTCGTAAGATCCATCACAAGTGGGCCTTACTTAAGCAATTAAAAAGCCCATCTAATTTTTTTTTTATCAGCAAGTAAAAGCCCATCTATCTCCTCTTCACTATTCCAGGAAAACGCAGGAAATGAATGGATAAACCCCAAAAATCCGACAAAACTGAAAAACATCAGAATCAAACATCAAAGAGATGAGAGAGCTCTAAGTCTCTCCCAGTTAATCGATAAACCCTTCATACAGCATCTCTTGGTAAAGCAGAAAGGTTCGTCCTTTTCTTCTCCTTCCCTCTCAAATTCTAGTATAAAGCGTTGTAAAAATGCGTAAAGATCGGATTTTTATTGTTGGGTTTATACTGATTCTAAGCATAATTGTATCTTATCTAAAATTACACAGTGAAAAGTAGAGTGTAATGGCGTCAATATCAACAACCTCCTGGCTCTATCGAGATAAAGTATGCACAGAGAGTGGAAGGCTCGGTACTTGTATATTACTGGTTAGTTCTTACACATTATTGCATGTATAGTTCAGATGTTGTTTGAAGAAATGATTACAAAGTTGTTTAATACATGTAGAGGCAAGTTAGATACAATTTTCCAATCAGGAGATTACATGTTGGGGTTACTTCTAAGGATGTGTTAGTGAGACATTGTGTCAAATGCAAGAAGGAGAATGATGATGGTGATGATAATGATGCAAGTGAAGGGTCTTCTAAAAAGGAAGGACAAGGATATGAGTATGTATCTGTTGAGAGGGCACCTTACTATAGTTACATGGATTCAACTTCTGGGAAAATGGAGCCAGCGTCCGGGGCTAGAGCTAGCATTCCAGGTGAGGATTATTGGCCTGAAGGGACATCGAGCCGGGTTAGAGCTGCAAGAGCTCCTCAACCAGCTGGTGAGTCTTCGAGTTTCCCTTCTTATGGGAAGAATCCTGGGAGTAGGAGAAAGAAGAATAGAAAAGCTACTGAGGGGAATGTGAGTGTTGAAACGTATGATGAAGTGTCTGACTCTGAGGATAGCTCTGAGGAAGAGGAGAATGATGTGTCGAACGGCTTTGTTGTTTATAACAATGAGGTTGAAGGGGAGGAAGAGGAAGAGACTGGTTTTGAGTTGGACAAGAAGCTTGGACGGCCACATCCTTTTATTGATCCTACTAAGAAGAAACAGATTGAGAAGACACTCACGAGTGATGAGAGTTGGTGGAACTGGAGGAAACCAGAGAAAGAACAGTGGTCAAGGTGGCAAAGAAGACGTCCTGATGTTGAAACGGTGAGTCATTACAGTCTTTAAGACGTGCGTTTTGCCTTAACGTTTTTATCCATTATGGTGTTTTGTTGTTTCAGGTTTTTCTCAAGGCGATGGCAGAAACAGGACAAGTGAAGCTCTACGGGAAAGAGCCAACACTAACGGAAACTTCGCTTTATAGAGCAAGACGGCATCTTTTCAAGGAAGAGAGGCTGCAAGCTGAGCGAGAGAGACTTGTAAAAGAAGGTCCAATGGCTTTTTACTCTGAGTGGGTAAAAGCATGGAAGAGAGACACGTCAAGAGAAGCTGTTCAGAAGCATTTTGAAGAGACTGGGGAAGATGAAAACACACAACTCATTGAGATGTTCTCTCATCAGACAGATAGAGAATACAGGATAATGATGGGAACTGATGTAAGGATCAAGAGAGATCCTTTGGCAATGCGGATGAGGGAGGATCAAATTAAGCAAAGTATGAAACTACAAACTCATCATGGAGTATCCAGTCCTTTAGATGATTAACTTTCTTTGTTTGTTTGCAGTATGGGGTGGGGATCCGGTTTACCCGACGATTAACTACATTCAAGCTCCAGATGCGGTTATGGATTTCAGAGGGCCTGATTTTCATGAGCCAACACCAAACATGCTCTCTTATCTGAAGGAGGTTTGTCTGCTTTGCTCAAAATACTTTCTTGTTGTTCTGGTCTTTGTTCTTATTGTTTTCTTGTGTTTTGGTTTGATCAGAATGGCAAAGTCATCTCAAGAGAGGTGCACGAAACACTATTGGCAAAAGAGAAAACCGAGCAGGTTGAGGTGCCTGACATTGATGATGCAATGGCGCAAGCTGTTGATATTGGTGAAAACGATGTAAGTATCATCAGATCCTCTTGTTCTTGTTTCTTAATATTACCATGCTCTGAGACATCTCTTTAACCTTTTTTATGACAGGATGAAGAAGAGGACGCAGAAGAAGCAGAAAAAGACGAGAAAGTTGCAAGGAACTGGAGTGTATTGAAGAGTACCCCTGAACTTCGCAATTCCAAAGTAACAGCCACATTCAGCTTTTGTCGTTTATATGTATATAAATGTGTGTATTAATGTTACCTGTTTGGGATTCTGAAACAGCCTAAACCGAAGAAGGAAGGTCGGATGTCTCTAGACGAAGCAGCGAATGATTCTGAGAACTTAACCGATTTTCTCATGGACTTTGATGAGGAGACTGATCCTTAACCGGTTTTGTGTTTATTTTTACGGTTCAGACTTGAGTGTAAAGACCTTTTATTTGTAAACTTAGAAGATTATATGTTTGTTCACCCACTGATTTTGGAATTTCATGGATGGATAAATAAAACAAAATAGTATTTGAACAAAGATCATTGTATTGAGTTTACTGTTTACTAGTGCAAACGGTTTGTTTCAGCTTTTGAAGATGGTTTCAAATGGCCTAAACCATATTCACAAGAAATGCAGAGAATGATTTCACAAGCAGTGTCACTGTTTCTTCTTTTCATCTATGTTTTGTTTAAAATGAAAACCACTTCTTGTCCAACAAATCATTTCGTAAAAAGAGTTGAACAAAAAAAAACAAAATCCTACAAATGGAATGGAATGAAATTGTAAGTTATGACAATTGTTTGTATTGTGTTATCTTCACTTGTTCCTGGAGATGACTCTATGGGTCAAGTCAATAAGTGCACGCCTCGATCTCTTGACATCTTCATCGTCTGTTTCAGGTAGAGACCCTATTGCTGCTGCTGCAAGATTCGCATGCTCTATAGCTAACTCTCTTGTCCTTTGTATTCCCTTGCTCTTCCCAAGATACTCTAAAGCCTGGATTTGTTTTTATGTGATATAAACATAAGAAACTTCGAAAATGTATTAAGGAGAGTTGTTTCTTTTAAACTTACAATGTCAACATTTGTTGGATCTTTTTCAAGCTGATTAACAACTGTGCGTAGTTGGGGGAACTCCTCCATGGCAAAGAGAATTGGAGCTGTTATGATTCCATGGCTGATATCCGATAAGGATCCCTTTCCAAGAGAAGCTGATGTGCCCGTGAAATCAAGAACGTCATCTATCAATTGGAATGCCAATCCCTGTAAAACAGAAACTAATCAAGCATTGTGGACAGAAGACTAGTTGCAAGGGAGACAACATTTTTGCAGAAAGATGATAGATAACGAACCAGATTCTTCCCGTATTCATAAGCTAACATGGCAACTTCTGCTGATTGTCCAGCGAGTAACGCGATTGCTTTGCAGCTATTTGAGATTAGTGAGGCCGTCTTATAATATGTCTTCTGCATGTAGTAGTCCATACTGTAGCCATGAAAAAAGTTAAACATATTTGCATAAAGATAATGATATGACAATTACTAGAAGCCATAGAAGACTTGAGTAGATTTTGTTTTTAATATACACCAATTAAAATGAGAGGAGAAGGAGAAAGCATATTAGAATGAGAGAAGTAAGATATTTACCTATGACGCTGATCGGTTGTGCTAGTCATTTGCATGGTTTCACCGGTAACAAGATGTTCCACAACAGTTGCAAGTAATGATACAACCTACAAAAGAAAGAAACAATGGGATATCTTGCAAGTCTTAACAATACTTCGATTGATGTCACTGATTCTAAATTATATGTTAAGGTAGCGAGTTCTTGAACAAGTTTACAAATGGAAGGGTAAATTTCTTAGTTTTCTTACCTCTGTATTTTTTAGAGCAGCAAGAGCCACACAAGCCCGAGAAAGCAAAAAGTCTCCTGCTAATACCGATATCTACAAAGTGAAGTCAATGGTGATCTTAAATATCCAATATCAGCATAATCACCAAGATACAGGATTAGTCATGACCTAGACGGTAGAAGTTTTTGTCAAGTGAGTACCTTGTTACCCATTACAAAGTTTAAGGAACCAACACCACGCCTTGTATCGGCATCATCCAAGACATCATCGTGCAGTAGGCTTGCAACCTACCAATGCCAAAAGCATTAAACTAAAATAAATAAAGGATACTGAATCTTGATTTTAGTGAATGTGATTAGTAGAGTACTGACATGTATCATTTCGGTGATTTCAGCAATACCCCGCTGCCTTACACGTAACTCTGACGGGAGTGTATCCGCTGATTCAGCAGCCAATGCTTCTGGTACGCGTACATTCAGAGCTGTTGCCATCAACAGCAGAATCTATAAACATAAAACCAGACCAGTTATGACACCTACAAGGAAAATGAGTTTAGAACATGGTGACAGGATGTGGAAACATTACAGTTGGACGAAACTGTTTTCCTTCCACACCTCTTTTGAAGAAGTATTCAGCGGCAGAGGCAAGCTTCGGAACCTGGAAACCAGAAGCCAGGTACAAAACAACAATTAAATGGGGATTTTCTTCAGAACAGAAAGTTGCCTCTTTCTCTTCTTTATGAGCAGAACAAGTACAAAGGAATGGCGAACAAAAGGGCACATACCTCGGCAACAACCATGGCTCTTAACTTATTACTAAGAAGTGACAGCTCATCCGCGACAAGCGAAAAGGGGTCAAGCTCCTCCTAGTAAAGGACATTCTTACTCTTTCAGCAGTCAGAAAAGAAGAGGAGCAGTTCGAAATAATTAAGCAATAACTCAAGATTAAAAATCAAAGGCCAGTTCAATAAGATGAGCAACAGCACACATGGTCTTTCGACGGATTTTTCTTACACTAGCAAGCAATGTCCAGCATATGTGAAAGTTGAACAACAGAAGATCAAAGTATAAGCTCGTGTCACGGGGGATTCAATGTAAGGGAGCAAAGTGCAAACCTCAACAACGGAGCTGCTGCTCTGGTGATAGAGTTGATGTCTAAAACCCCCCAAAACCGGAGAGTTAAATAAATAAGTAGTACCTCTGCAAACGTAACCCTACTAAAACATTACAAAGAGAATTAACACATTGGTTAGGTCACCGAATTCTACGCAACAGATGAAATTGTTAGATATTTTAAACCATTTTCAATCATTTTCTTATCTTAATCTCCACCCATCTCACAAATAGATACACACAGGATAAAAAAAAAAAGGGACCTTATGTATCCAAATAGAACACATGTAAAACAGAAAAACTTTTTTCCAGTATAATGAGAAAGTAAAAAAGAGAGGATTAGCTTTTGGATTGATTACTACTATATATACTCCAACAACACAACTATAATGAGTTTCAATTATAATACTATTCATAGACACAAAGGGCAAAACTCATTTAAACAAACACCGTAACTTGATAGATAAATCACACAGTAAAAACACAACCTTTATCCGATAAACTTCATTGGTAATAAAATGATTATAATCAAATCGAAAACTGCAACTTCCTAATACTCAATTAAAATAAATCAGAATAAAACAGACCCAAAATGCAATCAATAACCTTGTGTGAAGATTCGGAACAAGAAGACGAGTGACCCTGATGGGAGATGATGGGTAGGTGATTGGAGGCGACAAGAGATCGAGAGGAGCAGCCATAGAAGCTGCGGTTTCTCAGAAGTTTCCGAGCGATACTCCTCGTGAATATCATCTTTTTTCTTATTTACAGATCCGAATAACAGAGGAAGATAGAGAGGAACCAAAGACTTTGTTCGATTTGTAAAATCCGAACCGAGAAAAATAAAAGCAGCTGACTTTTATTCTTTCCTTTCCAAGGGGATGTATAAAATTAAACCATTTGTTTAATGACGAAGAGGAACCTCAGCCATGAAAAT